CAGTCGTTTAATTAAAATTTGTTCATTAATTGAGATAAAACAACATCATTAAGCAACACGTGTCGAATCCTTGCATATATAAGCATTATTCGTTCTCTACCTCACCAATTCCAACCCTAACAGCCGCTACAGTGTTCCACCCTCAGCCTGCATTTTCGGACCATTTTCAGCATCATCGTATTCGTCACATCCTTCAAGCTTCATCAGCTTCAAACTTCACTCATCATCTTGTTCTTTATAACTCACCACCACCTTCCGTCTTCAAACCTCCCTACCACCTTTTGTCTTCAAACCTCCCTACCACTTTCCATGTTCAAACTTCCATTAAAGCGAACCAACTTCCAAACTTCAAACCTAGTTGCTAAAATCAGAACAACCGACAATCTTCTTCTTCAATTCCATTTACGACCCAGAAAAACACAAGCTCATCTCTCGTTCAAATCCAAATCTCCTTCTCAAAATCTCTCCTTCAAAAACCTAATCAACATCACCAAACAGAAATCATCCAACTTCAACCTTTAACCCTTTCTGAGATCTTCAACCAAGACCCATTTTCGCAACTTTCTTCACACAACCATTTTCGAAACCACCTGCAAATCAAACCATCTCCACTGCAAATCGTTTCCATCATCAAACTTCACAACAAACACCCACCGTAAATCCACCCAGAAACTCTTCTTCTTCCATCAATGAACAAAATTCCATCTTCATTTCAAATCCCAAACCCAGAAATCCAAACACACCCCTTTCAAACCTCACCTCACCTCAATAGCCACATAAAAAACCTCACCCGCTCAATCTCATCTCTTCTTCAGATCGAAACTCTAACGCATGCAGAAATGAAGATGGACGATTCCTACGAGGAATCGACGTGAATCGCTTGCCATCTACAGTTATCGAACACGAAGAAGAAGAAACCGAAGTTTCATCTCCGAACAACACAGTTTCAAGTATCAGCGGAAAATGAAGCGGAAAGAGAAGTAGAGAGGGCGACGGAAACCGAAAAAGATGCGGAAGGTTTGATTCTGAAGATTTGATTTTGAAACGAAAATGGAAGTGAGGGAGAGGATATTAGAAGCAAGACGGGAACAAAGAAGTTTTGTTCTTCAGCTGAAGCGAAGTGTAGAGGAGAAAGGTCATCAAGGAATTATTTTGGGTCAACGGTTTTGTTTGCTGCGGAACTGGGCCTCACGGCCCGTGTTTACACTTCTAACTCCACCTTTTCTGTTTTATTTTTATTATATAATATGTTTAGTTATATATATTATTATTTTTATTATTTTTATAAACAGGCTGTTTAGTATATATATTATATTTCTATTTTAATTTTCTTTTTTGTAAATATACTATACTTATTATTTTATGAAATATATTTATAGTTTATATATTATTTCAATTCTATATTTCTTTTAGAATTTATATATATTATACTCATAGAAGTTTATATTATTTTTTTATTTGAAATTTCAATTCTTTTTTCTTTTAGATTTTCTTTTTTAGAAGTTGAATTTCATTTTTGATTTGTTATTGGGCATTTTGTTCCATTTTTATCTGTTTAGATCGATGAAGAGATTTCTCTCGTTTATCCGTCAAATTATTGACGAGAAACAATAGATCCGAGACCGCTTTCTTTTGTTTTCTCATTTTCAACTTTATTTCAACATTTTATTTCATTCCACCTATTTTGGTCGATGAAGAGACCTCCGTAAACCGTTATTAATCAAATTGTTGATGGATAATGTTGGATCCGAGACCGTTTCCTTCTCTCCTCATTTTTCTTCATCTTTCGATTTTATTTTGACTTGTGGTGATCGATGAAGTCTTGTATTCGTAAGATGAGATCCCATTTTGTTTTGGTCCGTGCGACACAATTCAATTGGAGAACGATCCTCAATATTGTTTCTCTATCTTGTCCAGAGCACGAAAATCAATACGCGACCTCCTATAGTTTGACTTCCCTCATAAGTCGAGCTACGACGGTTTAGCGTCACATTGGTCCCGATTCGAGTTCAAAACATCATCATCAAGGATCAAAAGAGGAGGAGCTTGGAAATAAAGCTTGCACGCAATTTCAAGGGTCAACGGAACCACTCTGTTCGGTAACATCTTTCTAATTCGATCTTTTATTCAACCACCGAGTGTTTTGAGTTGTAAGCGATATACACGTGGAAAATGATGAGTGGGAGCCTCTTCTCATTCATCTATAGTGTTTAGCGTATGTCCTTTGGACGATCTGCGATGCATTCACTCCTACGTCTTAGGACTTAGCGTGTGCGTCCCGATCCGACCCTTTTCTCTCACATCCTTGCGATTGATGCCCTTTTTCTCTCGCATCTTTGCGATCGAGATCCCCTTTCTCTCACATCCTTGCGATTGAGACCCCATTTTCCTGTTTCCCCCGTGCGATCGAGATCCCTTCTGTTTTCCCCGTGCAATCGAGATCCTTTTTCTGTAGTTAGCCGAACTACAGCTGCTTTGATTTCTCATACTAGATGAGAATATGTAGGCACAAGACGCGATGTCTTGGCGAGCACACTAACAATTAATTCCTCTTTTCTCTCGCCCCAGTGTGATCGAGAACTTCCCACTAACGACTAATATCCCATTCTCTTGCCCTAGTGCAATTGAGACTAGCCCGTTGTTCTAAACCTTTAGGTTCCCTTTACCCTTTAAACCCGTGGATATGCTACGTCTGTTCTACCGCAAACAGGTAACGCCTAAGCCTCCAATGGTCGAGCAATAATACACATACTGCTAGAATGCATGCGCTAGTATCGTCTACCTCTTCTCTCGCCCCCGTGCGATCGAGAATACCCTGTTTTCCCGTAGTTAGCCTGAACTACGTTTTGCTCTGATTTCTCATATTAGATGAGAATACTTAGGTATAAGACGCGAGGTCTTGGCGAGCAATCCCCCCCGTAGTTTCCTGAACTACGTTGACTCTGACTTTCCCATTGTACGAGGGAATACGTAGGCATAGGGTGGCGATGTCCTATCGAGTCAGTACTTTCCGTTTAGCATTAGCAGCCGTAGATAGTTTGTTTTTCACCCATAGACTAGACAACAAGCGTGGATCCCGTTGAGTACAACAGACGTGAGGGGTGCTCATACCTTCCCCTTGCGTAACCGACTCCCGAACCCAAGATTTGGTTGCGATGACCTGTCTTTTCCCTTTTTCGTAGGTTTTCTCTGATCGTTTCCTTTCCCTCTCTTTGGGATAAATAACAAACGGTGGCGACTCTTCTGTCTTCCGTCGGCCCCTTTTTCTGCAGTAGCGACAATGCCCACTTTGCCATCGAGGAATGGATATTTTAGGGTTAAATACAAGGTGGATATGACCACCCTTAGGGCATTGATGGTTGGACGCCCCAGGATGATGTAAGGTGACATAATGTCTATGATGAGGTAGTTGACGTTGATGGTTTTGTCGTCAACTCCCTCGCTGCATGTGGTTTTTAGGGTTACATAGCCCATTATTTTGTACATGTTCTCCTGATAATCCTATCAGAGAGCCCATGAATCTTTGTATGTCGTCTAGATTCGGTTGTAACTTTTGGAAGACATCCCAAAATAAGACATCGATGGAACTTCTCGGGTCTATCAGGACGTGCCTGATATCCAGTTTCCATGTTGAACGGTGATAACCAAGAGATCATTGTCGTGAAGGTTCATGCCAAGGCCATTCTCTTAGGAGAAAACGACGTTGACCCATGTCGTTCCCATGGTATTTACAGGAAAGTTGAAGGATATGTCATTCACCATGAACACCTATTTCACGTATCTTCTCCGAGCGGCTCTTGAGATGAGAGGCCCCTTCCAAAGATACCACAAATAATGGTGTTAACTTCGTAATGTATGACAATGTTAGTCATATATATGAAAAGGGGATAATAGGGATGAAGTGAAGGATTTGGCCCATGTTAGTATCACCGGAACCCCACGGTGGACGTCACTGTAATAATAAAAAAGAATATGGTGTGTGTATGTGTCCCTTACAAGGGCAGGGAGAATCATAGATCTTAGTAGTTATATTATAATTTGGCTAGTGATGACTTGTTCATTGCGCCAAGAAGCCATGTGTGGTGGTTTTTGAGACTGTTTAAGGGACCAACTCACATGACGTGACATGCCCTGTTGGTGGCTGGAGTTGCTATGTTACAGGAGGGCGGCTAGTTAATTGTGTGTTAGGGTTGTTGGGAGCGTAATGCTCTTTGAGTAGTGGAGGTGCGTATGACTCAAAGTCTGTCCTTTAACCCCCTTAAGGATGATGTATTTATAGGAGTTCCCAACACGTAGGGTTTCAACGGAAAAAACCACTGCTCACCTAGTCAAATGGTGGATAGTTGAATCCCTGTTTCCAAGGAACTTTGATCCTTTCCTTCTCTTTTTCTCTCCATCCCTCTCTCTCTCTCTCTCTCTCTCTCTATATATATATATATATATATATATATATATATATATATATATATATATATATATATATATATATATATATATATATATATATATATATATATATATTATAAAATCAATTTTGCTTAAAGAGAGAAAGTGAGATTAAGAGAGAGATAGAGAGGAAGGATGATGATGTAGAGAAAAAGAGAAGGAGAAGATCCAAAGTCATTTTCAAGAAAAATGTGAGTCAATAACGACTCTAACTTTTTTTTTATCCAAGACACGTCTTGTTCCATAATTTTTCCTCCCTAAACAAGAAAGACTTAAGGGCGAGGAGATATCTCATTTCAAACGAGCTCATGTTATTGCCTCCTTCTAGGGCGGTCTTAGGACAGGGTCCTAAACAAGACTTATTTGTCAATATTACACTCCAATCTCTTTTAAAAATATTTTTAAATTTTAATGTCAACTTTAAAAAAAAAAAATAGTTTTTTAATTTATATTTGTACATTTGTCAAACATAAGTAAATTATCACAGCTTTTTGATTTGATCACTCACTTCAGTGAGTGACTAACCCTGATCACGAACGACGTGATTGCCCCCAATGGAAGCCGATGACGGTTACGGCGGAAGAGGAACTCAGCAACCGACCGACGAGGTGAGTCTTCAACCAGAATGGAGACGCCGAACTGCCTCTACCGGAAGAGAACAAAACCTTACTCTCCAACCAGAATGGAGGCGAGGTAGGTCAACAGCAACAGCTCCACCTTCTCACTCCCGTGCCGGCGACGGAGCTCAGAAGAAGGATGAGGAGCAAAAAGAAGAGGTTATCCTTCAACCAGAATGGAGACGATCAAGGTCCACTGTTACTACTACTGCCACTGCATATCCATGGAATCAAAACCAAAATTATGGTGTAAGAAAACCATTAGGATCGAGTTCTAGTGGTGTTCAAAGAAGTAGAAACATCCATGAATCTTGGCGAAATGCTCCACCGCCAGGTATATTAAGCATTTGATTCAAGGATCATGCCATAGCTATGTAGCACTGTGTGTAGACACAAGCACTGACACTTGTAATTATATTTAATTTATCCATTTCTTCAAATGATTATCGTCGCCGCACGAAATATTAATTAAGTTATTCCACTGTAAATAGTCAATGAAGCACATGACACTGGAAACACCGACCATAACACGCTGACACCAGTGATAATTTGAAAAATGAGTACGTTTAACGAAAGTTAAATGTAACACAAGTGTCGGTGAGTTTTGGACACTGACATGGACATACTTATTTTCAGAGGTGTCGGTGCTTCATTAGTTTAAAAGATTTGTTAAATTATTATGCCAATTTTCAGTAGTTGATGATTTTTTTTTTCCATTTTTCTTAGAAGATTATGTAGTTCCTAAACTGGAAAGTCTGCAAATATCGAAAGATTTAGCTGCATCGTCCTTTTCGCTTGAAAGAAAGGATAAAGCATTGCCTATTCGGAGACCTGACCGTGGTGGCACATTAGCGGTTCTTACGAGCAGACTTAGTGTCAATCATTTTCTTTTGAAGTTCAATCCAGAGAGTATAATATTTCATTACAATGTTACTGTGAAACCTAATTTTTCCTCGAAAGTTGGCCAGCCTCAGAAGTTGTCTAATAATGATCTGTCCATGATTAGAGAGAAATTGTTTTCTGATGATCCTGAGAGGTTCCCCTTGGACATGACTGCGCATGACGGTGCCAAAAATATCTATAGTGCGGTGCAGTTGCCAGAAGAGACTGTTAATGTGGTGATCTTTGATGGAGAGGATGAAAAGATCACTTCATATAGTGTTACCATAACACTTCTTAATACACTCCGACTTCACAAGTTAATGGACTATCTTTGTGGGCGTTCACTCTCTCTTCCTAGGGATATTTTGCAAGGGATGGACGTGGTGGTGAAAGAGAATCCGGCTAGGCGCACAATTTCTGTGGGACGACACTTCTATCCCACAAATCCTCCTTTAGTAATGAAAGAACTTCGCCCTGGAATAATTGCAGTCGGGGGGTTTCAGCATAGTTTAAAACCTACTTCTCAGGGTCTGTCCTTGTGTGTAGACTACTCGGTGGTGCCTTTCCGAAAGCAAATGTCGGTCTTGGATTTATTGCATGAGCGTATCAATGGCTTTAACTTGGGTGAATTTGAAAAATTCAGGAAATACGTTGAGGAGGTGCTTATTGGATTGAAAGTTAGTGTGACTCACCGAAAGTCTAAACAGAAATATATTGTTGCCGGATTAACACCTTCAGTTACAAGGCATGTCACTTTTCCCATTGACTATACTAAGGGCTGGAAAATTGAAAAGGATGTTAATCTTCTTAGCTTTTTTAATGAGAAATATGACAAGGACATTGTACACAAAGATATTCCTTGTTTAGATTTAGGGAAAGGAAACAGGAAGAACTATGTACCCATGGAATTTTGTGTTTTAGCTGAGGGCCAAAGATATCCCAAAGAGCGTTTGGATGGTGCTTCAGCAAAGACATTGGAAGCAATGGCACTAGCTCACCCGAGCGAGAGGCAGAGTGCTATACAGAAGATGATGCAATCGAGTGATGGACCTTGTGGGTAAGAGGAGTTTTGATTCGATTGTATTACTTCCAAATGCTAATACTTTTGGTATTTTTATTGCTTTCTTGATCGTTGGTTACAAATGCATGAAATGACAATGATTGATTTATATCATTGGGTGCTTATTTTAAGGAAAAACGGCATGCTGTATACACCCTTCAATTTTGCCTCATGTGTGAAGAAGGTTGCAAATGACCCCACAAATTTCTTACTAGGTGTCCTATGATCAACTTCAATACATGACCATGTGCTCTAGTATCAACTGCAAAGAGGGAGTTAGTAGATTCTATGGACAAGAGATCAATCAGAAGAAATTCAATGATAGGGAGAGAGGAAAACCCTACTGATTGGTAGCAAAAAAGAACTAGATACCTGAACCTATTAAGTTTAGGAAAACCAAGAGAATCTAGGAAAACCTTAATTGCTAGCAAAAAAGAACTACAATTTACTCTTACCCCCAAGCAACCCACAGAACTATTAAGTATAGGAAACCCAAGAAAGTCTACTTTATTTGGAAGAGAAGAGAATTTTTTACTTGACGGTGTTCTTAGGGCCTGTTTGGATTGACTTATTTAAGCTTATATAATGGCATAAGTTTTGTGAGTCTGTTTGGGAGATCTTATCAAAACAGCTTATGGCATTTTTTATAATTTTTTTTGTAGTTATTTTACAAGTTCTCTAAGATAGCTTATGGAAACAACTTATAGCATATATAGTAAAAAATTAACTTTGGTTATAAAAATAGCTTATACAAACTTATTCATAAATGCTTATTTTGATAAGTGTTTGTGCTATAAGCTACAAATAAGTTGTTTATCCAAACAAACCGTTAACATAATTGCAAAATTGACAACTAGACACCTAACTAAATAATATTAATCACACTGCAAAGTTTCTAATTAAATTATGAAAATAGACTATTGGACTATGCAATGAGACATGACCTATGCGTTGGAATATGATTTGTAGTGATGACAGTTAATTTCAAGTCATGAATGATTAAACAAGATGACTCTTCCTAGTAGCAATTGATATAGCCTAGTATATAAGTGCAAACTTGTACATGTTATTTTGAAAACGGGTAGATATTCAGCTTAACAACTCTTCAGCTTTCTTACATGAATTCTGGAAGTGATTAGTTTGAATATTTGTTTAGAGATAGTCATACACATATGAACTGGTTTTTTATTTAATGTCTGAATATTTTTAAGGTTATTTATTTGTCCTTAATCCTGGGTTTCGTATTTGTTGGAGACATGTCTCACTTACAATTTTCTTCATTGGCAGTGGTGATATTATTCAAAACTTTGGAATGTCAGTCAATACGACCATGACAACCATTCTAGGAAGAGTAATTGGACCCCCGGAATTGAAATTGAGTGATCCAAATGGCAAGATTGTCAAGATAACAGTCGATCTAGATAAATGTCATTGGAACCTTGCTGGAAGATCAATGGTGGAAGGTAAACCAGTTGAGCGTTGGGCCATTCTTGATTTTACCAGTATCGGGCCGTATAGTAAAAAATTAAGACGAAAGGAATTTGTCGAAAAACTTATTGGTAAATACAAAAAGTTGGGTATCTATATGCAGGAGCCCATTTGGTACGAAGAATCTTCAATGAAGATACTTATGAGTCATGACTTGCTATCTGAATTACTTGAAAAAGTCAACAACATTTGTAAATATAACCAAGGTCGACTACAATTTCTTCTCTGTGTGATGGCTAATAAAAGTCCAGGTTACAAATACCTCAAGTGGATTTCTGAGACCCAAATTGGTATAATCACACAATGTTGTTTGTCTTATAGTGCTAATCAAGGGGATGACAAATTCTATACTTATCTGGCTCTCAAGATCAATGCCAAGCTTGGAGGCAGTAATGTAGAGCTGAATAATAGGCTCCCTTACTTCGAGGGGAACGAACATGTTATGTTCATAGGTGCTGATGTCAATCACCCTGGTTTACGGGACATTAGGAGTCCGTCAATTGTTGCTGTGGTTGCAACCATTAATTGGCCCGCTGCTAATCGCTATGCAGCACGTGTTTGCCCGCAATTCAATCGAAGTGAGAAAATATTAAACTTTGGGGAGGTTTGTGTTGAGCTTGTTGGTTGTTATTGGAGGATAAATGGAGTCAGGCCCGAAAAAATTGTTGTTTTTCGTGATGGGGTGAGCGAGTACCAGTTTGACATGGTTCTTAATGAAGAGCTACTAGATTTGAAGAGTGCATTCCAAAGATTAAATTATTTCCCAACAATTACTCTTATTGTAGCACAAAAACGACATCAAACTCGATTTTTTCCAGATGGTTGGAAGGATGGGTCTTCCGGTGGGAATATTTTACCGGGAACAGTTATCGACACAAAAGTTATACACCCTTTTGAGTTTGATTTTTACCTCTGTAGTTACTATGGAGGCCTAGGTACAAGCAAGCCCACTCACTACCATGTTTTATGGGATGATCACAAGTTTACATCTGATGAATTGCAGAAACTTATATATGAGATGTGCTTTACCTTTGCAAGGTGCACTAAACCCGTGTCTTTAGTCCCTCCTGTGTATTATGCTGACCTTGCTGCTTATAGAGGACGATTGTACCATGAAGCAAGGATTGGGATGCAATCTAAGAAGTCAGGAGGATCTTCATCTTCTAAAGATGCATTTGAACAAGGATTTTACCGGTTGCATGCTGACCTGGAAAACATAATGTTCTTTATCTAAGGAGACTATCATCCATTCTTACAGAAGCTGGGGAAAATCCCATGACTTACTCCTGCCTGCACATATATATCATGTCCTATGCTTTTTTCAACCGAAAACAGCAAAGTAGTCTGTGAATCTAACGGCTTACGAGTCTATTTTCTAGTCTACCATTCCATTTTAGAGGAATTTTATACCTCGGAAAATTGACGGGATCTAATCAATTAGCCACTCATAGCTCAAAGCCTAGATCTTCAAGTAATATTTTGGTCTTCAAATGAGCTCCTATTTTAGACGCCCCATTTCTCTTCATACGCCTCCTGCACCCTGTGGTATGTCGTATATGCATCATGTTTCATTGTTAACATGTATGAACTAACACTACTTCCTAGCATCAAGCTTAAACTTCTAGCTTGCTACTGAAAATTGGCAATTTGTTTTTTCTGTCTTGATATTATACTGCTATGATTGTAGAAACTAAATTTCCAGAGCTGTCTCCTATATGAAGTTGTTTGTGCAGTTTATAATTTCTATTGTTTTCTTATTGACTCTGATTTGACAACCATGCTATTATTTTAGATTTATTATTTTTTCATGTGAATACCTTGGCTTGTATGCAACAATTATAATTTTGTTTCGATTCTTCAACATCAGCATTTTTCAGGTTATTTGAATCTTTAAAATTGGTACAAGTGCTTCAGTCTTCTAATGCCATGGTTGAGTTGAAAATTGGGAATGATGCATAATTAGTTGTGTAGGAAATCTATCAACCATCTCAGTTTTCCTAATTCTATTGATGCATTACCTGTAAGTACTGGTAACATAGTTTATGACATCTACCTGTTAATCTTCAAACTTACATAGAAGCCTTTTAGAGACTTCATTCGTTCTCAACTGATCAGACATGCTGCACTAAAGATTGTAACGGATGATTTGTAAGCTATGTATTCTGCACATTGATTTTGATTAAGGAAAATGATTATTACTTCATGTATTGTAGCTTCAAATACTCCGAATATGATTATTGGGTTTGCGCACATACTAATCCTTATTTCCGCTTATTTCGGTTTCATGTTTGGAGCTGTCAAAATTGATTTTTAAAGTACAAAATTGATTTAGACATGTTCCTTTGCTCTAGAATATAACTGTTTTTTTATTTTATTTTTTTTTTTTATTTTTAAATTGATCCTGAATTCAAAGTAAGATTTATAATTTTTGAGTTTTAACGTCATATTTATACTAAATACTAAAGTTTATTGTTGAACTCTTTATGCAAATGTATCTAATTCCAAACACACTATTTTATATTCAATTTGAATTTATTTGATATGTATTGAGAGTGTAAAATTATTTTATCTTGTCAACTAATCACCCTCATATATTCCGTCACATCAGACTGTAAATTTTAAATTAACTGTATGACACGACAGATTAACATATTTCTATTGAAATTAATTTTTTAAAAAAGTTTTGTTTTTCACCATAAAACAAGCAAACCTTCACCAAAGTGACGGACACACTTTTTGTCACTTTTGGTTTAATGTCCCAAAGGACATTCTTGAAGTTGATTCCTTTCATTTTTCTAATACTGTGAGTGTTTATACCTCATTTTCTATTTGTGGAAACTTTTTTTTGAAGATAGATTCTTTGACTTTGTAGCCTCTAATTTTACTTAATTTAAAACAATTTTGATAGAGAGAAAAGTATGAAAGAAAAGAAAAACAGAGCTTCTAACTTTACTTAAACAATTTTGATAGAGAGAAGTTAGAAAGAGAAGAAAAAAAGAGGGAAACTTTTATTTGTGGAAACTTTTTTAAGAAGTGGAGCCTCTAACTTTACTTAATTTTGGACAATTTTGATAGAGAGAAGTAAGAAATAGAAGAAAAAGAGAAGGAAACATGATGTACATGTTTATTTTATTTTTTTGGAAATTTTTTTTGGAAAATAGATTTTCAGAAGACTTCGAAGTCTCTAGCTTTATCTAATTTTAGACAATTTTGATAGAGAGAAAAGTAAAAAAGAGAAAGAAAAAAAAAAGAAAAAGAAACATGATATACCTTTCTTTATTTTCTCTTTGTGAAAACTTTTTTGCGAAATGGATTCTCTAATTTTAAAGCCTCTAACTTGATCTAACTTTAGTCAATTTTAATAGAGAGAAGTAGGAAAAAGAAGAAAAAGAGAGGGAAACATGACGAGAGAGAGACAAAGTCAAATGATAGTTCTTTCCAAAAAATCAGAGGATCCATCCTCACATTTTTGGGAGGATAAAGTTCCCTATAAGACTTTTAGTAAGTACACCTACATTGTTACTTTAGAAGTTACATATATTGTTATCAGTGTTGTTCATTACACTCTTAATATTACTCTTAAAAATTTAAATTTCTGAAAATGGTCCTCTAGTACTGTCTGGATTTCTAATGCACAAATATGATTTAAGATTTTAAATGGATTTCTAATGCACAAATATGATTTAAAGTTTTAAATGCGTTTAAAGTAATATGTGGTGCGTCAGATTTCGAAAATTCCATAGGTATTTTGTCGCTACTCGAAAAATGCATCGTGCAACGACGGGGAGGCGAAAAGAAAGGACAGAAGAGTCGCCACCGAACTTTATTTATCCCATGAGGGGAAAGGAAAATATCGAGAAAACCTTAAGAAAGAAATGGATAAGATGGTCTCGCGACCAAGAACGGGTTCGGAAGCTGGTTATGCGAGGGGAAGGTATTAGCACCCCTCGCATCCATCGTACTCGATGGGAACCTTTTGTTTGTCGATGTGTGAATTTATCTGCTTAAATATTATGCTATAAAAAGAGTGTTCTAAAAGATAGAGAGAAGGGTTTAGAAACGTGAAAAGATGAGGTAACAGAGGGAGAAAAGAGAAAGAACAGACTCGGTAGGACTTCGCGGTCCTAGGCCTACGTATTCTCAACGGATGTGAGAAAATCAGAGTCGACGTAGTTCGGGGAACTACAGATATAGAGGGGGAATGTGCTCGGCAAGGATTGTAGCCCTTGTGCCTACGTATCTTTACTTAAAAGAAGTAAAGAATCAGAGCAGCCGTAGTTTGGCCTACGGTGTGCGGGGGGAGTTCTGGTAGACGCTGCTATCGTGCGCATTCTAGCAGTTAGGCGTATTGCTGCTCGCTCGTTGGAGACTTAGGCGTTACCTGTTTGCGGTAGAACGGACGTAGCATGCCTTTCTGGGAAAGGGGTGAAAAAGAAAAAAGGGTGCTCGCTAGGATATCGCAATCCTATGCCTACGTATTCTCAATATGCATGAGAAATCAGAGCAACGTAGTTCGTGCCTACGGATAGGGGGGATTGTGCTCGCCAAGACATCGCCGTCTTGTGCCTACGTATTCTCATCTGGTATGAGAAATCAGAGCAGCCGTAGTTCGGCCTACGGTTTGCGGGGAAGTCTTGGTAGACGCTGCTAACGTGCGCATTCTAGCAGTTAGGTGTATTGCTGCTCGCTCGTTGGAGACTTAGGCGTTACCTGTTTGCGGTAGAACAGACGTAACATATCCTTTCTGAAAGGTTGATTAGGTTTTCGCCACTCGGGGCAAGAAGTCACGTTTGATTGATTGGATTGTTTTTAGGGGGCGAGATAGGTCCTCGGATAGTATCCCCTACGGGTAGTACCCAATTCGTTATCTCAAAGTTTTTGTTATAAAAGGGTGTGGCGAACGAGGTGTCTTCATATTGAAAGACGAGTATCGAGACCACCCTCACTACAGTGGGCATCCCTATGCTCGGAGAAGAAGAGGTCTACACCCAATCCTCTCTCTTTAATTCAATGCAAAGAGAACTTCGTTCTCTTATTAAAGTGTTTTTGGTTTTGAATGGTAAATGCTTTTTGCGACAGAGAACCCTACGGTAAACGTCAGCACTCGGGATAGGAGAAGGCCTACGCCTAACCACTCCACGACCATTCAAGTTTTTGTTATGAAAAAGATTTTAAAATGCACTCGGTGCGAGACCGAGGTTTTAGGTGACAAGGGTTACAAAATGAAGTTGTGAAAGCGAGATGTGGTGGATAAAGGCGCATCTTCGTATTGAAAGACGAATATCGAGACCACCCTCACTACAGTGGGCATCCCAACATTCGGAGAGGAAGAGGTCTACACCCAATCCTCTCTCTTTAATTCAATACAAAGAAATTGTTCTAAAGAGATGAGATTTGAAAAGGGACTCGGTACGGGACCGAGGTTTTGAAAATGTACTCGGCACGGAGCCGAGGTTTTTTTTAGGAGAGAGAGTGGATGGAAGTGTCTTCGTATTGAAAGACGAGTATCGAGACCACCCTCACTACAGTGGGCATCCCAACACTCGGAGAAGAAGGGGTCTACACCCAATCCTCTCTTTTTAATTCAATATGAAGAGAAATTAATTTATTATTGAAAGTGTTTTCGAGGATGCACTCGGTACGAGACCGAGGTTTTAGGAGGAAAAGCGTTGAAAAGAAATGGTCTCAGATCCAATGTTATCCATCAATATTTTGACTAATAACGAATTATGGAGGTTTCGTCATCGACCAAAAAGATGAAAATGGGGCAAAAGGTCCAATAATAAATGAAAAATAAAATCAACTCTAAAAAGGAAATGTAGTCAAAAAACTCTAACAAGAAAGAAAATAAGAATTGCAAATTCCTAATATATATAAAATAAATCAACACTTCAAAATAACATAGAATATAAAACTATAAATAAAATATATTAAAGTTAATATAAAATCTTTTCATAACATATATATACATAATATAATATATACAAAATAACAGTTCATTTAAAAAACAATATATAATAATAATAACTACATAAATAAAAAAGAGTTAAGAAATAATAAAAAAAGAAACAAGGGGAGGGTGTGTGGAATCAACAGGCCTGGGTTAAATGAATCATCACCAATATTTTTGAAAACCAAATCCAACAAGGACAGACAAACATCAACTCAAATCAAAATGGAGAAAGATCAAAGACAAGAAAAAAACACACGCACGCACCCCGTCTCCGAGTCTCC